CGGCGTCGCCTCGGCAAAAAGCTTCGGGCTCCGAGCCGCGTAAAAGGGAAGGAAGCACTTAGCACCGCGACGACTGGCTAGGAACTTCGTCGGAGCTTTTAATTCGCGACAAGCTCCAACGTTCGCGACTAATTCCCCCAGTTTTTCCCCGAAAATCTCCCGTGTCGCTTCCATATGCGTATGAATATTTTGATTTTTCTATTACAAGGTCAAGATAAGGGATTAAGATGATAAGTAAATCTCTGTATCCAATGAAACTTACGTACGACGTAGTTCTAGCAGAAATATTTGCCTTGTGTACATTACGTTGTGATCTATAAATTGAATTTAATTTTAAATTTAAAGATCACAAATTGTATTTAATCCTTGCCATGTAACGTCGAGCATGGATTATAGTTCTGATTCAACGACAGCAGTTTGTATTAGTTTGTAGGGAAAGTGTTTTTCTTTCGCAAACCTGTTTTTTACAACAGTGTACCTTCATAAAAACGTGAAATGTCGCGGTGTTAAGAACAAAATGGACCGTACGTATTTCGACAAATATAAAAGAAAAGACCTTGTGCGTCTATTATTTCTTCACAAAACAAAAGAAACTTTTCGGGCAACCTAATATCTGTAACAGTGTTTGTTAAACTATACTGAAATACAGTTATTTCAATACAGTTATGGCATTTTCTCTGCCATTCTAAGTTTTTCCAGCAGCCTTACAAAAGTCCCTCTTAAACAAAAGGAACTTGAAGAATAAAACGTACAGCAGTCAATACGAAATTTCCAAGGCTCTTTTCTATCATATCCACCCTTTGTCTTGCCTTCACCTCCCCCTTATATTTCACACTATCTCCCTATCCTGCATAGGAGTTCCTGTACTCTTCCTCCTTGTCTCTCCACCCCTAACTCACCCTCTCTCTCGCTCTCTCTCTCTCTGCCAGTGCACTTCTGTCGCGGCGAGTGGCAGGCAAAGTGGGTACGTAGCTAGATGCGGCTAGGTGTAGTAGCTGCTCAAAGGGAAGCACGACGGCCTTCAGAGAAGCTGTGGTCGGATGGAAAGGGCATGGGAAAGATTGAAGCTCGAAGAGCAAAGAGGTAGTCGGGCCATGGTGATGCAAACTCGTACGCTACCACCATTAATTTCGTTAATGAGAATCGTTTGGCATATCTGAGATGTTCGACCTAGAGATTCTTCGAACCACTCATTTTCATTCCGAAAGGAAACAATAGCAATTGGTCTTTCGATAGTAAGGATGGTACATTATAAAGCGTTAAGAAAGGGCGTAATGGTAGGTCTGAGTAAACGAACAGACGATACGTTTGTATTCAATTTCCTATAATACGGGTGTTTCCTGGTGTAAATATGTCAGAAAGATGAATAATGTAGTCTTGAGAATATTTCAAAGCTCTAACCAAATCTTGTTAGAAGATTATAAGATTTTCTTGTACCCGAATTCTAGACCGTACAATACGTAATAAAACTAATGTTTTTTTCAACAAATACTTACAAAAGTACATTCGACGATCGTAGATTTTCACTGATAGTAGGACCTATGATAAAAGGTTTGTAAGATCTTAACGACAGATACCTATGGTACCAAAGACAATTCTGCAATAAATTGACGTGGCAATGCAAATAAAGAAATTCCAAAGCAAGCGTCGACATCAAGCGGGGAATTACGTGGTTGGAAAACGGAAACAGGGATTAAAAGATTAGTAAAATTACTGTCCCGCTTACTTGAACAAGTGGTTATATTTTCTGCTTGAATCCCGAGGGTACATAATCTTTCCTTCGTTTCACCGAGTCTATTAATTTTGGTAATTCACGTAGCGAAATTTTTCATCGTCTATCAATTTATGTTAATTTCAAATCTCTATAGAATTGATCCACATCAAATATTCTTTTTTTTTTATTATTATTATTTATTTATTTACATTTTACAATTTGTCCAGTAGGACATTTGGTAAAATATTATAGCTTAGTGGTATAATAATATAACATGTGAATGGCTATGCCATTGGGATACCATCTTCGAATTTGAGTGATTCATTTCTTTAATTTTATTGCTTTAATGCGATTTGTATGTTAGGTTATGTCCTTTGTGAGATCCGTTGGGTGTTTCCTTCAAATATTCTTGGCAAACATTCTAATTCTGAGTGATCTGGCGAGTTTCAAGAATTTTTAAAACAATGTTATCGAACGATCATGCAATCGCAAACTTTGTTTTACATTTTTTGAAAATCGTTTTCAATACATATATTCTCGTATTTTGTCCCGCTCTCGGAAATAAAAAAGAAGATGAAGGTTGTCGAAGAATCGCGTCAACCATCTAGACGCCATTAACTGAGAAATCTCATTTCGGACCACGTATTGCGCTTCCAAGCCTCATTCACGTCTATTAACGCCACTCGCCCTGCCAATGTCGAGAATGTTCGACTGATCGAACCGTCTGAAAAGTCCTTTTGTGATTTAGAAGTGGTATAATTGACGAGAGATATCGTATTTCGTTTTCCTGACTATGAGCTGTCGCGATGAATTTTCATTTCTACTTCTTTTCCTTCGAACTATGCTGTAACACGCTCGCTGATCTCTGAACACTCGTATCGAGTTTATTGAACTCCATCGATCTCATACTTTTTTGCAGTATAAACCAGCGAAGACTAGTTGAAACATTCTATTCGATCATCTTGTCGATCTAATATTCCATTTATACGTCGAAATACCTTCCAACGATATTTGTCATTTCTGATCATACAACATTTTACATCGCGCGAAAGATAAAAAGAAAAAAAAAAGAAAACATCAAATAAAAAATTACTCGCAGTTCTAGTTACAGTACGCATTTCACGTTTCGTGTTTCCGTCTACCATACACAAAAGAACGCGAAATCTATCACGAAGTTCAAGAAACACGAAATTGAAGAAACCCTTTGCGACTCTGCATCCCTAGAAACCAAAAAAAAAAAAAAAAAAAGAGAAATAAAACCTTTCCAAGGAAAAACGTCGTCTGACACACACGAACGTGCCGACATTCGAGTTTAAAGGTAACTGATCAAACGAAATTGCAACCGCCTGCCTCTCATCATCAGAGGCAACGTTCAACCGTTTTGCCAGTGTGAATGTTCGTAGAGTGGGACTTCACCCCTGTCGCACACGCGTATAAACGCGCGAACATAGAGAGCGCGAAAAGAGCCGACGATGAAGTGATTAAAATCGTGAAACGTTGGATGAAGGTACTCACTGTGGAACCTGGTCCCTCTCGTAGACAGGACCTGGTGCAACCGCTGAAGAGTTTCTTTGGTGGCTTTCTCATGTTTGTCGCGTGCCCTCGCCTGCAGTCTCACCTCCATGTCCGCGGAGCAGCACACCTCGCCGCCGCTTCTCACGCTGCCGCATACTTTCAGCTCCTTTGCTGGAAAAACGAACGGGAAACGAGTTTAATACACCGGCTGGATACGCGTCTCATCCTTCATCGCGGAGATTCGAGGAGGAAACTCGTTATACGGACGTCTTTAACAAGAGAGCTTTCGAGGGTTTATCATAGTTGGTTCAAGCATCGGACAAATCTTTTATTATTTTCTCTTCTTACTTCTCTTTCACGTTTGTTTTGTTCAATAGCTGAATCGAATATTATTGTTCTTGAGACTATTATTCGACGATATTTCTGTGTTATCGATTGTGATTTCGATAAGATTTATTTTTTTATCATTTCATATGGTTTAAGGGATGAAATCGAATGTTACAAATGTTTGTATGTTACGGTATAACATCGTATCGAACTTCACGATTTTTGTATTGGATACAATGGAATGTGGTATTGAACGTTCAAATATTTGTATTCCGTTGTAGCACTGCGATAAATTCTATGATTTTTCGACGCGAGTCCTTTAAAAATTATTTGTTCCCCTCTATAGTGCAACTGATATCTAGTTTGCTTTTCTACACAGAATGATTGATTTGTCTTTTCTTTGACTATTTAGACATCTTTTTCGAATATGGATGAAACAGAAAGATATATGTAATATCTTTTGGTGATTAATGTCCAAGTTATGAATGCCTCTATAGAAAGCATCGTTGTCGTTAGTTAACTGTTGCAATTAATAATTCGGATTGATATCTGTCCGCTTTGAAATTGATTGGTATACGTATGCAAGTGCGCGATTGGAAATAATCATTTGCGATTTTCAATAGGCAAATGTAATTAATAAATCTAATTACCCTCCTTCCGTCATTTTGAAGTCAACGATGATTACGCTAATTATGAATACACGAATAACAGGAATAATTAAACAGCGACCAGAACTTCTCTGCGTACAATTGCATAAATTATATCATTTTCATAAAAGAATTCTCCGTTTAAAATTTCTCGCTTGAATAAGAGTTCCTTTCTATAAGAGTTTTATCCCATTGACGTTCGAACGTTTAAAAAAAATAATATCCTCAAAATGAAAGGAGGCGAAGAGTCAACGAAAAGATCAAAAAGGTTCAAAAAGTAAGGGAAACGATAAAAACTTTTCTCTTCGTCGAAATCCAATTTTCCGTTTTCCGGAAGACGCTGTGGGTAGCTACTGGCATAGGAATCGCGCAAGCAAGATCTGTTCTCGCGTGAATTTCCACGAGTTTGTTCGCGTTTACCTTTTGCAACTAGATCGGCCTAATCACATTCTTCTTTGTCGATAGAAATTTACATTTTCGTCTCGGATTTTTCGACTTTTAAACGTGTCCGACCTCCTTCCTTTCGCTTTAATTTCCTGCTAGTTTGATTTTTTCCGAACAGATACGCGTCCGATACAAGAGCGATACTACTTGTCAATATTGTTAAACGGGACGAAGTTACACAAAGTACTTACAATAGCAAACGTTGTTCGCAGCGAGAAAATTAATGAAAATGGATGCATCGAAGTAATTAAATAAGTAAATTAAATAAAGTTGTTTCCAAATGAGAGAGTCGGACAATTTCTAAAACTTCCTAACTTTAAACTTACTTATATCGATTAAAGTTTTCAAATCACAAATTAATCAAATAAATTCAATTGCATCAAACAGAGTCACAATAGCTATGAAATTTTTATCTATTTCTTAATTCTACTGTTTATAAGAGAAAAGTCGATTCGATCTGAAACAAATTCGAAGTTGATTGAATTTAAAAGAGTCATTAGAGCAATATGATAATCGAGCAGAAAATGAAAAGCAGTTTCAGACGAAGGCGGTTCGATCGTCCTGGACGTGTTTGAAGAAGAAATAGTCGCGATCGACGACGAATGTAAAATTTGAATGTAAAATCCTTTCTAAACTCTGTCTAAAAAACTTTGTAACTCGCGTTATACGTATTTTGGATACCTGAAAGAATCATCAAAGGACGGTAATACATACTATCATCCACGGACAAGACGTTCTATCAATCATTTAAAAAATCAGAAAACATAAGTTTCGTTATCTTGTTATCCTTCGTATTTGCTTTCCTTCGTTCAATTGAAAATATTCTGCCATTATTTCGCGATAATCTGTGCAATATATAATATTAGCCAAAAGGTAAAAAAGAAAAGAATTAGAAAGCTTCAAATATTTTGACATATCTTGAAAAATGAGAATTATTTTCTGTCTCGTTAAAAGTGAACAGAAACATTCGCACGTATCTAACAACTGCAGAAACGAAAACTGTGTTAACAGACATCCTGAATGGTTTCGTGGTTTCATTATTACTCTTATTACTTGACGAAATAATTCCTGAAACATTAGTACGTATCAACAGAGCGTATCAACGGTAATTCCGCTCAATCTATAACAATTTTCCAAAGACCAGGAATACATCCATTCTTCGGAACGTCCCAATAAACCATCCAAGATCGAGCAGCATCCACCCTCTATCGCGCGGCGTGACAATAAGCCGCGTTTCCATCGAGGGTCGTAGAACAGGGCAGCATCCCTACGCTGTTCCCTTATCGGTCGGACGCCAGGCTATATCGCTTATCTGCCAATATTTCCAGTCTGCCGTCTAAGTAAGCTAATTTCCAGCCACTCGGAACTCCGAGTCGAACTTCCACCCCCTTTTGCCCCAACCATCGTTTTGTCGTGTTCCTTCGCCCCATCCTCTGTCTGCTTCGGCTTCAAACTTTCAAACACGCCCGTAAAAGTAATCCCGAATTATTTCCGGCGAATCGGTCGTCGTGACCGCGCTTTTCCACTCGATTCGATCGCGCGACGCGTGCAGTTAACGAGCAATGTAATGCGTTACGATTACGCCAGCCTTGATATAAAAGTCTGCTTGATACCAACCAGCCCCCTAAATCTCTTCGAACGATCCTCCCATCTTCGACGGAGGAAACGAATACGACTTGTGTTCCTTCGATTTCTGTTCCAATCTACATGGCTGTAAATTTCATTTAATAATTCTATTTTCATTGCCTCGTTCGACGCGAGTTTTCTCTTCCTTCTTTCTTCCTTTCTGAATATTTTTAACGTTTGAATATCGATCGCAAGAGACGACACGTAGGACACGTAGAAGAGTAGATTTTCAGGTAGTTTTGAAATAAAATAGGAAATACAATAGATTCATCCTATTAATTAATACATAAAGTTTAAAGCTTCAGTTTAATGTAAGACCATCAGACGTATGCTACAAAACCGAGTGAAATATTAAATAAAACGCATCCTTCGTTCCAGTTTCTTACAACCTTGAACAATACAGATCGAGAGAAGCATTGGAAGATATTTCTGTCCTATCTCTACGTTTTTATTTCCACATTTCCCACTCGTATTCTTCCATACCCAACTGTCATTCGAATTAGCACCCATCCTCAAAATCGCGTTGTTCGGAGTTTCCTGGCAGACAGCAGACGACATTTGCATCGATTGTTCCATAAGCACCGAAATAATAAGCGCCATAAAACCGTACTAACTCCTTCCCTGAGCCGCGATTTCACGACGTAGATACCCGTTGGCGCGGCACAAAAACGGAAGATCGTCCAATAAATTTCTTCGAACGATCCCATATAAAAAAGCAATGACAAAAAGTGAATAAGACAGTGGAAGATGGAGAAAGGAATAGGATATAAAATAGATAAAGTAAGACGTATCTGGAAAGCTCCAAGAAGCATTTGACGAACTACCGTTAAAAGCCCCTTGGTGCAGACACCGAGACGACCCTCGCGCAGCTTTTGCATCGCGTAAAGCTTGTACGTATATACACGCGTGTATGGTACATAAAGGGCCGGAGAGTTACGCGGTACGCCGTTTGTTAGCGTACTGACATCGCAAAGACGCCGGGATTTCCGTCGCGACGCGCTTCCGTGTCGCAGCCAACGACTTTGTACGGTACCGGCTGCTTTTTCCAGGAAAGGGACAGAGGACCTTGTAGCCAGGGGGAATTATGAAACAAGACAGAATCGATAGGAGGGAGTGGACGGTACAGGGGTAGAATCTGTCGACTGTGAATGATAGACAGGGAAGAAGAAGTTGGATGTCGAGGGGTTCTGTTAAGTTGTTTCCCGGGCGGTTTGGATCTGGTTGAGGAGAAATTAATTTCTGTTTAGATCCTTGGAAATTAACGGAACTTCAAGGCAGAAAGTATTTTGTATTATACCGCTGTTAAAATCGCTCTAGGGCAATTTCCGATAATCTCAGGGTAAATTTATATCTACTTGGGAAAATTTAAAGAATTCGAAGGCAGAGTCATAGATTTTTTTTTTAATTCAATGCTTCTATATTGCACTACTATCAGCTTGATTCATAAAAGAAGATTTTTGTAGTCTCCGGCGGAAATTGGTATTTTTTAACAATAAAAGTAATTTCGCAAAATAGTTAGTGTGTATAATGGTACGAAGCTTGTAGCGATACAAGATGATCAAAAAATTCTCCAATTTCTTAAGAAAGCTGTAATAACAACGGTTAACGATGGCCTGTTGGAATTTAGCTAATTAACGCGTAGAAAATGATTAGACTCGAGGTGTGTTTCAACAACAAAATCTAGCTGAAAATACTTCAACAAATAAACACATCACCTTCCACTACTATCCATATCACCAAACCTAATCCACACTTGATGCTCGTCACCGTGCAACTCTCTAAACATAGATCAACCCCTGATCGATTCGATCCGCTGTACACGTGTCACCATCGTCCAATGTTCAACCTTAACACAGTCGATTGATTCCAGTTTAATCGAGCCGTGGGAACCGCAACTTTCATCTCCTCTTTTTATAAACGAAAGGTCAGCTTTCATCCTGCGACTCCGCCATCCCTTTTAAACGCTAGTTAATTACAAAAACAGAATACTCGTTAACGGAGAAGATCGGTTGAAACTGAGATGCAATCATCTATTAATCGAAAAATGGCCACGACCGACTAACTGAACCTAATGAGATTAAAGGGACGCGATGTTGGTCACGCTCGGATTTCATTTCCATCGCGACC